AGATAGATAGATAGATAGATAGATAGATAGATAGATAGATGATAGATGGATAGATAGATGATAGATAGATAGATAGATGATAGGTAGATAGATGCATAGGTAGATAGATAAAACTTATTTGAAAAAGTAGAAATCAGTAAATAGTAAGTAAAAGTGGAGAGTTAGAAAGGGAAAGAGAATAAATGAAAACTTTAAAAATGTGGTAAGTAAATAGCAAAAAGAAAGGGGGTGGGATGGGATGGGATGGAATAGGTTGGGGAAGGGAAGGGGAGGGAAAAGGAATAGAGAGAGAAAAGGAAGTTTTAAAAGGAGAGCAGAAAAGAAAATACTTTTTTTAAAAATGAGAGAGTGAATGTGTGCAAGAGAAATTTTAAAAAGGATGAGCCAGGAAGAATAGACAATATGAGGAGGAAGAAATGAAAGGTTTAAGAAGGGGAGGGGTCAGTAAGAAAAGGTCACAGTTCAGTTCAATGGGATGATGAGGCTGTAACATCCTGCCTCTGGGATAATAAATCACTTTAGCGGCTATATTGCTCCATCTGCAGCTGTTAACTTTTCCTTCCAGTAGAAAGTTTCAGGCAGGCATCTCAAACAGTGGCCACCTCAAATGCTTTTTGAAAAAGAAAATATAAAGGAATTTATTATGAAATAGACATCGTCATTCTACTGTCACAATATTACAGAGGTGCCAGGAGAAGAAAGATGTCTATTGCACATGTGGAGTGGACTTATACCACTATAATAAGGCTGCCACCTTCCCCCGTGTAGACACCCAGGGGTGCGTATCTTATAACTAATGAAAACCCAGTCAGCACACATATAGTCTGGAATCCTTTTGTCTCTAAATGATTAGAAACGGAATCTGTAGTCACCTCTTTCACAGATGAGGTATATGAATATGGGTGCCTCTGCCAGGCTTTGAGGTACAACCAAGAATTGTCATGGCCACTGTGGCTTACAGGTCGTCCAACACAGTCACTATGCTGGTATGCGTCCCCACACAGTGAAAAGGCCATGTTCTTGAGCGAGATGGAGGGATAGAGTTTTTCCCTTCTAGGAGACAACTCTGTGTCCCCAAGTGTGGCTTTAACTAGACAAGTCCCCATCACAGCTCTCTATCCAAGAATTTCATAACCTTGCCACTACTGACTTTTTGGGCCAGATAATTCTTTTTTGTGGGGACTGTCCAGTGCATTGTAGGATGTTTAGCAGCATCCCTGGCCTCTATCCACTAGATGTCAGGAGCAACTGCCCCACTTTGTAACAACCAAAAATATCTCCAAACATTTCCAAATGTCCCCTGGGGGACAAAATCATGTCCCATTGAGAACCACAACCTATCCTCTCCAGTTCCTCCCCACAACCCCATATATAGGTTAGCATATGGCTCTCCACCTGTTGGGCATAAAAGGATGTATAGAACCTGTCTTGGATACCTTTGTCATCACTCCTATTAAAAATAAATATTTTATTGGGTCTCTTTAAGCTTCTTCTACAAAAAGGAAGAAAATGAGTGACACTGCCAGTGACCCGAAATTATACCAAAGACAAAGACGTAATTAAAATGTTACGATTGGAAATTCTAAAATAGTAATTGGTGGGAAGCCTGGATTTGGCACTGATCTCTTCTGCTTCTAATACAGACGAAGCCTCTGTCTTCTGATGCGAGTGACCAGTTTTGAGTAATACTTCCTCATTGCTACATCCTTTCTTGCCACTGGGACTAGGTTCCCACTCACTCGGTTCCTGTCACTGTCTCCACACACCTATGAACAGGGCAGGCTGCATTTTGCGGCTGACAGCCCTGCAAGCCCGGTTCAGAGTCCTGTCTTCTCCACAGCCCCCTGCTCTTGATCTCATTTCTGTACTTTTCCATTCCCAGCAAGATCCGAAGGCATTTTTTAGCATTTGCCTCACTGCCTCTGCTGCCACTCCTTGACCAGCAGTTATGCCTCAGGGAAGCTTTTACCTGCATCTCAGTGGTTGCAACCGGAGAATCATCTTTGCAGATTCTGACTGAAGGTGCTACTGATGTTTCTGAAGCCTATGGCCCTAGGGACCTAATGAGGACAAACACAACTGATGCTCTTTCTCAAAACTCAGCCCTTCCTTAGGTTTTGGACTTTTCAGGCCTGAACTTCTGTCACTTCACTGGGGGCAGAAATATTTTATTCTGCCACATATTTGCCCCAGCAGTGGAGCATGCCATCAGTGTTGCCCACCCTTGTTCCCCTGTTCTTTTTAGAGCAGCCCAACTGAATAGTAGTTGTTTTAAAATTTCAGCCTACTTCTGAAGTAGGCCACTTGAACACATGTAGGATTAGCACTGTTTGCCGGATCTAAGTGTCCTCTTTTGGCTTTCTGGCTCAGTCATTGATATTTCTGACGTAGTCCTCCAGGTTCCCCTCCTCTAGATCTCCAAAATGGCTCAGACTTCCAGGGATGCTCCCTGTCATTCTTCTTCTTTCTCAAAGGTGGTGTCCAGATGTCAGGGGCAAGAGATGTGGCTTATGTTCAGGAGTATGGCCTTCACCTAGGAGTTTATCAGAATGCAGGTTCTCAGGCCCTATCCCAGACCTACTTAACCAGAAGCTGCATTTTCACAAGATCTCTAGTGCTTTTATATCCACATTAAAAGGTTTGGAAAACACTGGCTTCCATGACCTCATGAAGGTAGAATAAAGTCAAGGTGCATGAATAAAATGTCTTCTGCCTCCTCTGGTCTCCAAAGATATGCCCTTATCTCCACTGAGGTAGTGCTTTGCCCGTGAGCATTCACAGGTGAAGTCAGCCACTGGTGCAGTGACTCATGGTCTGGTCTCCCTGGACTTAGTAGAGTGCTGTGGTGTCCCATCCCCCCTGAGTTCTGGGGGCTGCTCCATAACACTCACAGTGGAGCCCTCTCACTTCCACTATAGTGACTCCCTTGGCAAGCTCCCCAGTTATACTCTCAGCCCTCCCTGAGCCATGTGCACACCACACTGGAACCACGAGAGGCTTAAAGCATAACCTAAAAGGAAAATAGGGAGAGCCTGGGAAAGGGTATAAATCTTTAGCTATAAGACAAATAAGGTGTGAGTGTCTAATGTAAAACATGGTAACTATGGTTGATAACACTGTGTTGTAAAATTGAAATTTGCTAAGAGAATAAAAAATGTTTTCAACAACAACAAAAAAGATAAATATATGAGGTGATGGATGTGTTAATTAACTAAATCGAAGGAATCCTTTCACAATGTATAAATATATCAAATCACTACAATGTACACTTCAATGATCTAACAGTTTTATATATCAATTACATACCTCAATAAATCTGAAATTTAAAAAAAGAAATCAAAACCTCAGAGAAAGCCTTGCTATGCCTGATCACACTGTGTTGCAAAGTTTCTGCCCAAGCCCAGATGAGGAGGAGGCGTGTAGCTTAAGAGTTCTCTTTCTAGAGTCCTAAATGGGAAGCAGAAAAATAGTTTTTCTTTTCTCTCCATGTTAACCTCAGTTATCTGGAGCAACCAAGGCCCAAGGGAAGGAAAATATGAAGTCCCATCTGATTCCCTGTCTTGATTGTGATGATGGTTTCACGGGTTTATACATATGTCAAAACTAAACAAATGGTACATTTTAAATATTTTTTGTTTATTGTACTTAAATTATACTTCAATGAAGTTTCAAAATTATGTGATTTCTCTTTCATGTACTTCAAGGATCAGTTCGGCATTCTCATAGTTTTATAAAGATTCCTACCAAAACACCATCAACCCTGTTACTTCTTCAGCATGGTGTACAGAGTAACACAACAGAACGAAAGGTAGAAAGTTGTGTGTCTCAGATGCTTTGTATTTATTATTAATTTATTTGGTTAACTTTCATTTCTATGAGATATCCCCGTCACTGGCGTGGTACTAGATGGTCAAAGGTAATAGGGTCCTACACAAGTCTGAACCACTTGCTCCCTGGAAGAGAAGGTTCTGAGTTGGCTTCATGCTAAATGTACCATGTAGTTTAGCAGTAACTAACTTAAATATTTCATGTTGATGATAATGATGATTATGATGATAATAGCTAATGTTTATTGAGAACCTGCTGTGAGCCAGGTCCTGTGCTAAGCCACATGGAAGGGAAAAGGGGGAAAGGAAATGGCATAGGATACAAAGATGAAAAAACCTCCTCACTACTCACCAGGACTCTGTCCAGGGATTAGACACACACAAACAAAGTCCTTAGAGTAAAATGAGAGGACAATTTTGATGTGTACAAAATGCAGTAGGACAAAAAATTTAGAGACTATCCCTACTAGAGAAATATAAAGAGACTTTATTAAGAGGGAGCTTGCCCGGCTGGTCATGGCTCAGCGGCTGAGTGTCGACCTAGGATCCAGGTGATTGGGGTTCGATTCCTGGTCAGGGCACATGCCCAGGTTGCGGGCTCGATCCCCAATCAGGGGCTTGCAGGAGGCAGCCGATCAATGACTCTCTCATCGTTGATGTTTCTGTCTCTCTCTCTCCCTCTCCTTTCCTCTTTCTGAAATCAATAAAGATATATTTTTTTAAAAAAAGAGGGAGCTTAATTGAACTAGGTCTTGAAATGTGAACGGGAAGTTTCCAGATGAACAGACATGAGGATACAGTGAGGCAGTGCTGCAGACAGGTGTTCAGGCTGTTAAGTGAAAGCTTGGAAGTGCGAGCCAGCAAAGCCAGGACAGTGCAGGAGAGGAGACTGAAAAGGTAGTTTCAAGCCAGAGCTTCATATACATTTCTCAAGTATGAATTTATTCTCTTAGAAGCAGGGAGCCGTTGAAGGGTTTTAAGAAGGGATGTGAAATAACAATGATTTGGGTTTTTATAAAAGATAATCTGGTTACAGTGTGTGAGATAGAGAGAAGAGATTAGAGGCAAGATAGTTTTGAGTTCACTGCGATAGTCTAGATAAAAATGACTAGGGCCTGAACTAAGGCAGTGGCAATGACGATGAACTAAAGGCCACAGATTTAAGATATTTCCAAGTCAGAATGTCAGGATCTAGTGACTCAATAATGTGTGGATCCAGAGCAAGGGTGATGATGAGGACGACGATGATGATGATTTAATTTTGTGTATAGTTTTTCTCTTTTTTTTTAAATCCTCACCTGAGGATATTTTTTCCATTGCTTTTTCAGAGAGAGTGGAAGGGAGAGAGAGAGAGAAACATTGATGTGAGAGAGACATGTCAGGTGGTTGCCTCCTGCACATGCCCTAACCTGGGCTGGGGATTGGCCTGCAACCGAGGTACCTGTCCTTGGCCGGAATTGAACCTGTGACCCTTTACCCCTCGGGCTGACACTCTAACCACTGAGCCAAACTGGCTAGGGAGGGTTTCTTAAAGTGGATGTCTCTTCACTGTGCTCTCATAGTGCTCAGGCTTACCTCTATCTCAGAACTCATTCTACTGTTTCGTACTTGTCTGTCTGTTCTACTGGATTATAAACTTCCTGAAGTCAGGAATTATGTATCTTAGTTCAATTCCAAGAAATATACTCAATTAGAATTAGGTTGGGTTATAATGGCCTTATCTGAAATAAATGGAACAACTCTAAACTTTCTAGAATAGGGCACTGGATGGATTGTTATGCCTTTAACCCATTTATCCCCCTTTTGCCCACCTCCACCTACCCCCGCCCCCTTTCCCTCTGGCTATCACCACACTGTTGTCTGTGTCTGTGTGTTATATATATGGGGTTTTGGGGTTTTTTGCTTAATTGCTTCTTTCATTCAGCCCCCCAACACTCCTCCCCTCTGACTGCTGTCAGTCTGTTCCATGTACCTATTTTATTTGTCAGTTTATATTGTTCATTAGATTCCACATATAGATGAGATCACATGGTATTTGTTAGATCATCTGTTTTTAAAGGAAGTTTTAAAATATATTGGACAATATGAGTACATCGAATGGTAACAAATACCTAATTTATTTTGAGAAATGGCACAACCATTTCTATTACAATAGAGCACAATACTATTTCCCACCTTATTGCACCCATCCCATCAGTGTCAGGAAATGCACTTCTGGTGGCTTGTGTTCAGCTCTCAGATCTGGGGAAAAAATAAAGTCTACCCTGTTGGATTTATCTTCCTGCAGGGAGAGTCCTTGGCCAAATCAAAGAGTCACATCCCATGTGTGCAGAAAACCTGCTCTCTGCCTTCCAGCTCTCTAAAAAAGCATTTCCCTTATAGCTAACTTTGTTTAAAAAACACACATAGTACTTCTAGCTATTCAGTTGATTACTTTCCATGCTGATCAGTGCATATATCAGTTACTTAATTTTAGAATACCAATGATTTCTACAAACCTTTGACTTTTGTAATGTATGTAATATAAACCAAATAAAACATGTGTATTTATTATAAATTGACTTTTAAATAATTTTCTTAAATTTCTGAGTTTTAAATGTGAGAAATAGCTGATGTTCAAATTCTCTAAAATTCCTTTGAGGATTTTCTTTGTTTTTATTTTTCATGTGCAATATATAGGTGACATATGCTGATTCAAATGGAAAAAAGGCCAAGAAATCAAGCTTAAACTATAAGTCAGGTAAACATTAGCAACTGTTATCAAGTAAATCCTGCAATCCATTAATCTATCAAACATTTATTGAGCTTCTGCTACAATCCAAGCACTGTTAATTATTGAACATACAAAGTAGAAAAGCTATTGTCCCTACCCTGGATTTTAAGGTTAGTGAGGAACAGACATGCCAATAATCACAACCCAATATGATAAATGCAATAATGGAGGTATGTATAAAGTCCAATAGAAGCATAGGGAAGCCAGGGAGACTTTTACAGAAGAGGCCACAGTTGAGTTGAAATGTGAAGAATGAAAAATAATTTTCTAAGACAAATGGAAGGAGAACCTTTCAGGTAAAGGGAATACATTTACCAAGATAAAGACATTAGAGGAGAGTGTTTGTGAAAATACAAGTTTTTTCAGAATTGCTTTAGCTAAAAGGTCAAGTTAGAGAATTCCAGAAGATGAAGCCAGAAAAAAGTTTTCCCTGTGTGTAACATGGATGGCAAACTTAATACTTCATACTTTACCAAAAGGATTGGATCATTAAGATTCTGGTAGGCCATGCCAAGGAATATACCTTTTATCCTGTTATTGAAGGACAATTGTTGAAGAATATTGGCAAGGGCATAATATGATCAGAATTTGCCTTTTCTAAAAAGGGAAAACAGAATTAGAAGTGAAGAGACTAGAGGCAATGAGTCAATAAAAATAACATTTAGGATTTACTGAACATATACTATATACCAGGTATGATGTTGAACTTTATAGTCTCTCATTTAACCCTCCCAACAAATTAATGAGGTCAGGACTATTTTATCAACATTTTACATCTATGGACCTTTTAAAATATATATATATATATTTATTGATTTCAGAAAGAGGGAGAGGGAGAGAGAGATAGAAACATCAATGATGAGAGAGTCATTGATTGGCTGCCTCCTGCACGCCCACTATTGGGGATCGAGCATGTGCCCTGACCGGGAATCGAACCCCGATTGCCTGGATCCTAGGTCGATGCTCAACTGCTGAGCCACGCCCGACTGGGCCCATTTTACATATAAGTAAATTAAATCTGAAAGTGTTAAATTATTTTGCCCAAGATTTCACATAGTATGTGGCAAACCCAGGGTTTTAACCCAGGTCTATCTTACTCAACCAGTCCTTACTGTAATACCATGCTACCTCTTACTGCAGTTAAAGAGGCTATTACAACAGACAAGGATAGAAACGAGTCCTGAAGAAAGTCAATGGCAGTGAGGATGAAGAACTGGGCACAGATTTGACTCAAACTAAGGGAGGTTGAAAATGGATGAGATTTGGTTACTGATTGAATATGGGAGATGAAGGAGTTGAAGAGAACTTCCAGGTTTCTAGACTAGACAACTAAATGGATAATGAACCGTGGTACCATTCAGTAGGTAGGCAATAAAGAAGGTTGAGCAAGTTTGGAAGAAAAAAAAATTTGGTCAGATTTGAATACACTGAGTTTGAGGTACCTGCAGGCATCAAGTGGGACATTTGAGTAGAACAGTCAGGCAGGCAGTTATAGATACTGGTCTGGGGCTCATGGGAGAAGCAATGAAAAGATATAAGGTGTTCTTTTTTAGGTAGATTAGACTTTCTCTTTTTAATTCCCTCTTTGATTTAAGAGTTATGCATAAGTATGTTTCTTTTTAAAAAAATAGGTTTTTATTTGAGAGAGAGAGAGACATTGATCAGCTGCCTCCTGCATGCCCCCTACTGAGGGTTGAGCCGTCAACCCAGGCATGTGCCCTGACAGGGAATCAAGCCAGTGACTTTTTGGTGTGTGGGACAATGCTCAACCAATTGAGCCACACCAACCAGGGCCATAAGTATGTTTCTTAATTATCAAGAAATTAATATTTTGACTCCATTTTTATTAGATTCAGAAATTATAGCCTGAAAAATCTTTAATACATTGAAGTTATTAAGGTTGTCCGTGTGGCCAAATATGTGATTGATATTTGAAAGTGTTCTATGGACATGCTAAAAAGTGTATAGTCTCTATTTGAAGCATGTAAGGTTTTACATGAATATTAAATTATACTTATTGATTATATTATTCAATTATTACGGCTTTACTGACTTTTTGTTTACTAGACTCTTTTCTTACTGTCTACTAGATGTGTCCAGGCATCAAAGAAGTATATTGAAATTCTACACTATAATTGTATTTTTATCAAATTCCCATTGCATTTCTGATAGGTTTTACACAGTTAGGCTCTTTAGGATATTTAATCCACCACATTGCTAGAAACCTTAGAAGAGTTCTTGATTTTTTAAGTTACATTCATTATGTATTGCTAAGCAACAAATCACCCCCAAAACTTGGCAGCCTAAAACATAAACCAAACATTACTATCTCTCGGTTTTTGTGGTTAGGAATACAGGAGCAACTTAGCTGAGCTGGGTGGGTCTGACTCAGGGTCTCTCATGTTATGGCCAACATGGCATCCAGGGCTGCTGCAGTCATGTAAAAGTTTGACTGGGACTGGAGGAGTCACTTCCAAGGTGGCTCACTCATGTGGCTGTCGGCAGGAGGTCTCAGTTCCTCATCATGTGGGCTTCTCCAGAGGGCTTCTTGAGTATCCTTATGATATGGCACCTGGCTTCCCCCAAAGTGAGAGAGACGAGAGAGAGGGGCTGAAGTCACAATATATTTTGTAACCTAAGTCTCAGAAGTCATGCACATCACTTCTACCATGTGCTATTCATTAGAAGCAAGTCACTAAATCTAACCCACACTCAAGGGGAAGAGAATTAACCCCCACTTCCAAGAGGGAGCATTGTCAAAGAATTTGTAGACATATTTTAAACCACCACAATAATATTGTTTTCAAACTTAAGTTTTCAGATTAGTGCACTATTAATTCCTGTTCCTTCCTTTCCAAAACAGTACACATGCAAAAACATACTATACGCATACAGAAAGAAATGCAACACTGTCAATAGAATTTAAGTAAAACTTTTAAGGCAGGTTGTTGGAATTTATTGGTTACTCACAATACACTTTACATTTATTGTGATAAAAATAAGTACTAAATCACCTTAACTTTGAACTGACTCTAATTGGTAATACAACTTTCTATTTTTCAGAGCATTCTGTTTGTCTAAGGCTGTTTAGTCATGCATGTGCATAATTGATATACACTGTCCCAGTATTCTTATGGAAATATTCTACATGCAGACTTACTTTAGTATAATTATCCAGAAATATTCACTAAAATCCACTCATGGAACTTTGCTATATGGCACTCAAAGCATTTTAGACGCAAAGCAGTACTTGAATGGGAAGAGATTAATGACAGGCAAGACTAATGAACAAACATTGAGCCAGCACATGTGTTAAGAATTAATTCAACAAATAAATGTTATTGAGTGTTTACTATATGCCAGGTACCATAAACCAGAAATCACAATACAGCATAGTAAGCCTGAAATAGAAGGATGTATAAGTTGCTTTGGGATCATTGAAGATAATGCCTGTCTACCTAGGCAGATTTCAAGAAAGGCTTTCTGAAGGAGGTGACATGAGCTGAATGAGTACTAAAGGATGAGAAATTTAAAAGAGGAACACTAGAGTTGCTAAGGAAATAGTAAGGTCAAAGGCAGAGGGAATTACATGTTGTCAGTATCTCTTGAGCATAAAATGTATGTAGGCTGGTGACTGGAGATAAGGCTGGTGAGGTAGGCACTGGCCTCAGATCTTAAGGCCTGTTTTATACCTCCCTGGGAGTGCCTGGCAGGTTTAAACAGAGTAGTGACAGCAGGTAATAAAGGCCTATTAAGATATGTTAGTTACCATTTTACAAGTAATTTTTGAAGGATACCAACAAATAGTAATTTTCTTTTTCTCTGAAAATCTACCTGCAGCTCACAGAACCTGCCCTCATGATTCATCAGTTAAGTAAGTATCTAAGAAAATTTAATAAATTAATGTAAATTAAAATTTTAAGAATTACTTGTATGTAGTGAAACTCATCTTTTGCAACCTCTCTGGACTAAGCTAACATTGTAAATAGGCAAAGTTGGTTATTCAGGCTCTTCCACCCCCTCTCTTTATTCTCACTTTGATTCTATGCTACCCTAATATATAGGGCCTCCACTCCCCATTCATGTAGCACTACATCTTCTCTCCCGGTAGCTTTCTGGAATCTGGATTTATTCTTCTCCCCTCTCCCCATTCAAACATGCATTACTTGTGCTTTTTGAGGTTATTGGTTTCCTAATGATGATAAATTAGTTCACTATATAGTATTAATGACTAAATCTGGTACCCCATCCTAAGGATATTTGCATTGTAATCCAAAGTAGTCAATCTCTAATGATGCAAAATAAAGGCCAGTGAGATTTTTTTTTTTTTTTTGGCTTTGGGGCTTTTCAGCCCTCAAAACTTGGTGGCCACCCTATTCTGCTGATGTCCTGAATAATATTTCATGCACATAAATAATTCCTGATCAAACACACATACCCAACACCATCATCTTTTAAACACTCAACAAACCAAATGAGGTCCAGGATAGGTTTTATAAATCCTAAACTCTGAGAAAAATGGTTGGGTATAGTGAAGTAGTATGTGGTGGTAAATGTCTTTGACATTCAGACCAAGCTTCCTAGAGAAGAATCTTGAGCTTAGGGGTGATGGGAGTCAGTTGTCTGACTTTAGTTAGTGTTTATGGGCTAGAAAGTTGCTAAAGGATAAACTGACTAACCCAGTATTAAGAGAGTTTAAATAAAAAAGGTGAGAGCACAGTGATTTGTATAGTTTTGTAAAATGTTAATTTCTCCTTCCCTCTTCCTCCTGCCCTCACCAGACTACAGAGCTACAGAATCACTTGAGTCTTTTCAATAGCAAGTGCTCTGGATATCCTTTTATTAAAAATCTTAGCTCAGCTAAGATGAGAAACTCCACTCATGACCTGAAGCTCCTCTCCCATTACTTTCATATACACAGGGTTAAAATACCTTTAGCTATGCCTAGGAAAATTCCAGGCCAGAGCACAACAAAACATAGCTAACAATACCATATAGTCTGGCTCTTGCACCCATGTCACATTCCCTTACTTTACACAGAAGAACACAGGTTCAAGGCCTTTGACATAATCCTCTTGTTTCGATGCATCTCCTTGCTTCCCAAGGCTCAACTGTGGACACATCATGTCTGTTCCACCATTTACTTCCTCTCTCTTCTCTCCCCTCAATTCCAATAGTTCTCTTGTTTTGTTTGTTTATCTTAATGCTAAGACAGAGGACATACACAGTAAGGTTAATAAAATAGAATTAGGATCCAAGAAATCAGAGCAAGAGAATGCAAATGTGATAAGATAGTGGTGGAGTAAACAGTTGTAATAATTAAGCTTTGCATTTAGAGACTGAGTATGTCCTTATGACTGGGATGGAACGTTAGAGGAGAAACAGAGTAAAGAAGGCAGTAAGTCTGTTGCCCGGAAGACTGTGCTCAGAAGATTGTATTTCATTCATTGGGTGACTTTCTTTTTTTTTATAATCCTCACCCGAGGATATTTTTTCCATTGCTTTTCAGAGAGAGTGGAAGGGAGAGACAGAGAGAAACACTGATGTGAGAGAGACATTTTGATTGGTTTCCTCCCACATGTGCCCTGACCAGGGCTGAGGATCGAGCCTGCAACCGAAGTATGTGCCCTTGGCTGGAATCGAAGCCGGGACTCTCCAGTTTGCAGGCCGACGCTCTAACCACTGAGCCAAACTGGCTAGGGCATTGGGTGGCATTTTAATGGTTTTGAGGACGGAGATGAGATTATCAAATCAGTAACTGCTGAACATCTGTAATAGCAGTATGTAGGACAAATTGAAGACAGTTAAATAGCTACCAGTTGCAGAAGTCCATTAATGGCCTGTGGCCTGCAGTGTCCTTCATGTTGGAGTAGAAAGAAGTATGCATAGATCTAAAACAGGTTAAATGGGAGTTTATTTAGCAAACTGTCTTGAGAACCTACTACTACTTGCTGGGTATCAGGAGGATACCAAGAAGAATAGAACACTGCCCCTGACCTCAGTTGTGTGTCACATCAGAAGAAAAGACAGGGAGACATGAGGAATGGCACACAGTGAATTGAGGGCAGGATAGTGGATAAAATGTCAAGCAAATGAAAGGCCACCCATGGAACTACCTAGTGTTTGGCCTTTCAGATTAGAACACTGATGTTGGGATACAGACATGCTGCTTTTAAACCCCTTCAGCCACTATTGATTTGGCAATAGAATGGACTACGTGTATGGATAATCAGAAAGTATTAGTCATCACCCCAAAGTTACCAGCTTGAGATACAAGTAGAAGACCACCAATTAGATTAAAAATTAGATATTCAGAAGGATTAGGCAAACAGACTAAATTTTAATATTATCACATTAGTGGTCTTACATGAGGCCTTTATCATTTATTTGGTTAGGTTTGTTCCCAGGTTTTTGCTGTTTCCTTTATCTAAAGTCATACCTTTGGGATAGAAAGCCTGTGGGGACAAGTTGCAACAAATACACAGCACTCACTGGGTTCCACTTGCTGCCTGTGATATGAGGTAGAGAAAGCAAAATAAATAAATAGATAGATAGATAGATGATAGATAGATATAGATAGATAGATAGATAGATAGATGATAGATGATGATAGATGATAGATAGATAGATAGATAGATAGATAGATAGATAGATAGATAGATAGATAGATAG